AAAAGAAAGAGAATGAAAATAAAAACAAACTACAAAGAGAAAAATAAGAACAAAGATTAAAGATCTAAACTATAAACAAAATGAAAAAACATAAAAGGAAATCTAAACTATACAAGAATATATATCTATACTACGAAATAAATACAAGAAAATAATGCAAAAATAAAGACAGAAAAGTAAATCTACTCTACGAGGCATCAAAATAAATCTAAAACAAGAGAGTTCTAGCACCTTGAATATCTAAAATAAGAAAATAAAATATTATAAGAAAATAAAAGATAAAAGAAAAAATTTACATTAAAAGAGGGTTCTAGTCTCTTGAAAGCAAACATTCATCTTCATCTTTATTTTCATCATCAAATAAAGAGAAGAAAAGAAATATCAAGAGGTAATTTTTTTTTATTAATTGCAACAAAGTTATAATTTTATAAGGTCTTCTTAATTAAGAGTAACCATCCTCTCCGAATAGAGTTTTTACAAAACTTTTTGCACTGAAACCCATCACCCTCTGTCCCTATCTATAGCCTACAGTAATAAATGAGAACCCTTGGATATTGCTTGGATATTGCTTGGAGATCAAGGGTTAAATCTCAACCAGAAATCTATTTCTATTGAAAACTAATTGGTTGGCCGACTTATTGGCCAATCAGTTAGTCGACCGATTGATTTGTGACAGATTTAATTTTTGTGTTGATCTCTTAACCCGATGTCTTTATGAATCCTTGAGATTTTTTGGGCCTTGTTTTAACTTTATATTTGGGCATCAATAAATAGTAGAAAATCAGGAAATTTAATTTTTTTAGACTTTTATTCATTAATTCTTCATTAACCTGTAAATTAAGATAAAACACGCTGATTAGTGATATTTTTATTCAAATAAAATATATAATGAGGGAATAAAATATAATAAAAATGTGATTATCAACAACTCATGAGTATGACTTCTAGGGTGATTCCTAGCATATCCTTAGGGTCCCAGGAAGAACATTTACATTAGCATGAAGAAACTTAATGATCGCTCCTTGTTGCGACTCTGTTAGCTTTGACCTGATCTTCACCTTCTTGGTTTCATCAGGGCCGAGCAAAATTTCCTCTAACTTTTCCAGGGTCATGGTTCGCTCCCTCTCTTCATCTTTCTACAGGTAGGCATGGGTCTTCTCGATGGTCAGAGTATTAAAAATCTCTTTGCCCTTTATAGAAAGCATATAGCAGGATCTGACTTTTTGGTAATTGCTCTATACAAGACCGACTCCATCTAGAGTCAGAAATTTGATCAGTTGGTGGTAGATAGAGGGAATAGCGATAGAGGGAATAGCTTGGAGGTTGTTCAAGGAACTCTCCCAAGGATGACGATGTACGTTGATTTAACATCTATCATAATAAATTGGACCTGAATCATGGACTGGCGAGGGTAGTCATTGACTACCATGGGTAGGATGATAAATCCTTTCAACTAAATCGAATGTCCTGAGAAGCCTACAAGGGGACTCCGGCAAGGACATAGCTAGGATTTGTCAACCCCGATCTTGTTGAATGTGTCTTTGAAGAGGACATTTGCTAAACTTCTAGTATCCACCAAGATCCTCTTGACCTAGAATCCATCAATTTGCATAGAGATGATTATGGGGTCATTATGGGGGCGTCATCATGCGTTTCAGTTTAGTGTCATTAAAGGAGATAAGCTAATCTCCTTTGAGATTTTACTCACAGAGATTCTCCAATGCTCATTAGGCATACTTTGTCCAAACATTATTTGACATCCCCCCTACAACAGGGCTACCACTGATGGTGTTAATGGTGTTATTGTCGTTGGCCTTATTCAGCTGATTGTTCTGTAGATATGGATGATATGACCTTGACCTAGATCTCCTCCTCTCCAATTTCTCTCGGGCTGACTTTTCCTTGTCATGGTTGGCAAGGAACTTCTTCAATAGACCTCTTTGGATGAGGTCCTCAAAGTTTCTTCGCAACATTCGGCAATCATCAGTGTTATGGCTATGGTCACTGTGTTATTGAAAGTATTGCCGGACACCCCTATGCTGAGGGTTTGAGCTTGTAGGAGGTGGGACCTTAGTAAGATGTCCCTCATTCTAGATCAAATATAACACTTGTTAAAGGAGATCATTGAAAGGGGCGAGCACAGGTTTCCTCATCATCTCCTTTCTTTTATTTTTTGTCAACTTGGCTAGATCTAAGCTTAGATTTAGGCCGGTCCTCTTTAGTCTTCTTGCCTTTGGAAGACTTGGCTTCTGTAGCTCCCTGTCACGTCACCTTATAGTCCTTCGTGTCCATGTGTGACCAGGCTCTAGCCATGAGCTAGTTAAAGTTGGTCACATGGCGCATAATGAGAAAATTAGACAATATCTCATCCCCCAGACCCGCGATGATTGTCGCTATGAAAACCATGTTGCTAGGGTCTTCCAATTCCAAGCGCTTGGATTGGAATCTTTTGAAGTATTCTCTTAAGGTTTCTCTAGTCTTAATCTTGATTTGTAGTAGGAAAGCTGATTGTACCTTCTGTTTTGTGTCCATCAGAAAGTGGTGCATGAATTTTTGGCTAAGTTGTTCAAAGCTATGGATGGATCTCTTCTCTAGAGAATTCTACCACATCTTTGCATTGACATTAAGGGTGACAGGAAAGGCTTTGCAAATGATAAGGTCAGTCACATGCTTCATGCTCATCATGTCAAAGAAACGCTATGCATGTTCAGCCAGGTCGTCTTTACCTTTGCATTTCTCGATGTGGTGCATCTTAAAATTAGGGCATGAGGCATTCATGATATCCTCCGAGAGAGGAGCATTTCCTCTAATGATGTCAGCCACAATGTTGTATATTTGATCATAGCCAGAAGCTAGATAGGCCATAGAGGGATAAGCTCAGGTTGCTAGGGTTTGGGTAGTGTAGGTGTGTCTTACATCACGTGACATCACCCACGCAGCCAGAGTTGGGGCGTAGCTTGAGCTTTCTCCTATCATCTCTAGATGAGGCGGAGGTTGTCATGGATCAACGGTAAAGTAGGTTTGCTGCCAAGGCTGTTTGGGTGTGTTTTCCCTAACCCGCTGCTCTTGCTTTTGTCGCTGGTGCTGCCATTCATGGAGAGGGGTGGTAGGCAATGGAGGAGGCTGAGAGGGAAGAACATCTGAGAAGTTCGTTAGAAGATGAAGTGAACTGTTGTTTGAGAGAGTGAGTTATCCTTTCAGTAGATTCACCCAACTGGGCCTGAGTTACATAGCTAGAGCTAGAAGATTCTCCAAGGGTGTTTAAATTTGAAACCATAGAATGGTTATGATCAAGCAATTTCCGAAATGGAGAAAAAGAGGTCTCATAGTGGGCACCAAATTGTTTAAGTCAGAAAGTTAATTGCCTGGGTATGTGGATATTTAGAGGAGTTTAAACTCCCTTGACCTTCCTCGATAGCTAATTAGTCAAAAGGAAGTAGATTCCTGCACAGGAAATACTCATTGCTCCGACGTGGCCTCTGACGTTTAAGTCTGTAATAGATTAAGCAAGTTTGCATAGTCTAGTTTCTAAAAGTTATTTAGTAGTTTTTATGTACCTACGAATGGTGGAGATTGCCTGCTATTTATAGAGAATTGGTGGGGGCACATTGGTAATTTGATCGAATCGGTGCAGTCAGCTGATCATGTCGCATTTTATATGTGTTGGCAGTCGGTTGAATGAGTCACCTTCACGTTTCATGCGATAGTGACAGAATAGCTGACATGCTGGTGTGACCCGATGAGTCATTACTTCTGTTTGAAGAGTTATAATTACTCTGACTCAACATTAAATGCGACGATGGTTGAGCAGTGAAGTACGACTATTAAAGTTGATAGGTCGTCTAGTCATTCGAGACATTCTCTAGTGGGGGGCTGAGTTGAAGATGTCTTTCGTCTCAGGCTTGACTTCTTCTAGCGTATCTCAACTTGAAGACACCTTAGAACTTGGGTTGCTAGAGGGGTCGGCGGTGCTTGCACCTGAGTCGGGCTCTCGAATTAGTAGGGCTCGGCCAGTTAATTATGACATGTGGCCGACTCTCGAGTGTTCATTAGACTTTGTAATTCTCATGATATAACACCAAGAAAAACAACTTTTGTAATTATTTGAATTTTAGACCATATTTGTGAAGAATAGATGTTCTCACTCCCCAAATTTGTCTCCAAAACAATCTAGTTGTTCTTGCATGGTGTAAATCTTCTTGAGATATTGTATCCTTGAAGAGCTCTCTCTGCACTTTTGCTTGTAGCTGTTCGCGAGTTTATTTCAGGTAGAAATCCAAGGGAAGATACTAAAAATTCAAAGAAGGTAAAATGTTACCTGAAGACTGGCACTAATCATAACTTATCCTTAAAGCAATACATAATTCCCTCAAAAAAATTTAAAGCATGCATAAACAGATGGTTTAATTGTAGATACACCTCCTATACGAGGTTAGCTAATTTATTATCCTTCAAGTTTTTATTAGCGATTGGACCCGTGACGTCCCAGTGAAATTATCCCAGTGAAATTATCTCTATGTTATTTGTACTCATAATGTCAATGTCATGTTGCATCAACGTATTTGTTAGAATAAAAAATTTTCAACCTCAATCTTTTCATCGCAAGTTGAGTTTTGGTAGAGTTGAATGGATCTTTTTAATATGGAATATGAGAAATCTATATTCAAATCCCATAGGCAAAAAAATTTAAAATTTTGAACAAACTATTGCATGAAAAGGCAACCCGCTGGGCCACGTTAATATAAAATTATAACGCTCAACCCTCATATTAAACTTGAGTTTGGTTTAACGGCAGGGAACTTTTAACTGTGTTGGACAAAAATCCCTGATATTTTGTTGTGTGATTCCCAATTATCTTATACATGTTGAACAACCTCTAATACAACATGCTAATAAAAAGTTTTAAGGATGGACAGTAACTGACCAATCCCCTGAAATGCAGGGGTACATCGACATGTTTATCAGGGTAATGCTAATATTCTGTGTCCCTTACATTTCAGATTGCTTAGAGATGCCTGGATCATTGATTCTTCTCGTGGTTGTCTCCCCCCATTTGTTCGCCCACAGCATGCGGGATGGCCCTGCCGGCATCGTGATATGCTTGGCTATAGGCTGTTACCTACTTCAAGAGCACATCAGAGCTTCTGGTGGCTTCAGAAGCTCTTTCACGAAGATTCACGGTATCTCAAACACACTCGGTATCATTCTTCTCCTTGTTTACCCCATCTGGCATCTGGTGGTGCATTTTGTGTAGGCTGTTGAAAATTTTTGAATTTCTTATTATTATTATTATTATTATTATTATTATTTTGTGCTAAACAAGCAATTGACATCATTATTTTGTAATAAAGATGTTAGCTCCATATCATATATATGGTGACCAATTCTCTGTTATATTGTCTGAAATTTCTTTTTGTCGTCTAACATAAAATTTCTTCAGCTTCTGCGTCGAGGTGTTTGTTTTGTCTCTTCTTTTTGTGTTGCCTAATTCACAGTGGGTACTTTCTCTTCCCAAACAGCAATAGATATATGTGATACCAATGATGCTAGTTGCAACTAGAATTTACGCACTGAATCAGGCCAGACAAACTCTCCT